GTAATCCATACTGAAGGCTGTGGTCTTTTATCTTCATCAGTAAGTGCTTCAAGTCCTCTTCACTTTTGGCAACAAACTTGTGTCATCTGCTTATTGCAAGTTGTTAATGAGTTTTCCCCTAATCCTGATGCCATGCTCTTCTTCATATAGTCCAGCTTGTTGCATTATTTGCTCAGCATACGGACTGAATAAGTACGGTGAAAGGATACAACCCTGACACACACCTTTCATGATTTTAAACCATACGGTATCCTCTTGTTCTGTTTGAATGACTGTCTCTTGGTTTATGCACAGGTTCCTCAAGAGGACAATTAAGTGTTCTGGAATTTCCATTCTTCTGAATGTTATCCTTAATTTGTTATGATCCACACAGTCGAATGCCTTTGCATAGTCTATAAAACATAGGCAAATATCTTTCTGGTATTCTCTGCTCTCAGCCAAAATACATCTGACATCAGCAATTATATTCCTTCTTCCATGTCCTCTTCTGAACTCAGCTTGACTTTCTTGCAGTTCCCTGTTCCCAACAGTTTTTGAATTATCTTCAGCAAAATTTTACTTTATAGTGATATTAATGATATTGTTCTATAATTTATGTATTCTTTTGGATCACCTTTCTTTGGAATGGGCACAAATATGGATCTCTTCCAGTTGGTTGGCCAGGTAGCTGTCTTCCAAATTTCTTGCAATAGGTGAGTTAGAGCTTCCAGCTGTGCATCCATTTGTTGGAATACCTCAACTGGTATTCGGTCAATTCCTGGAGCCTTGGTTTTCACTAACACCTTCAGTGCAGCTTGGACTTCTTCCTTCAATACTATCTGTTCTCGAGCATATACTACCTCTTGAAATGGTTGAACGTCAACCAATTCCTTTTGGTGAAATGACTCTGTGTACATTGTCCATCTTCTTTTGATGCTTCCTGCATCATTCAATATTTTGTCCATAGAATACTTCAATATTGCAACTTGAGGCTTGAACTTTTTTCTTCAGTTCTTTCAGCTTGACAAAAGCCAAGTGTGTTCTTCCTTTTTGGTTTTCTAACTCCAGGTCTTTGCACATTTCATTATAGTTATTTACTTTGTTTTCTCAAGCTGCCCTTTGAAATCTTCTGTTCAGTTCTTTTACGTGATTATTTCTTCATTTCGCTTTACCTATTCTCCATTGAAGAGCACTTTTCAGAGTCTCTTCTGACATCCCTTTTGGTCTTTTCTTTCTTTCCTGTCTTTTTAATGACATTTTGCTTTCTTCATGTATGATGTCATCCCACAACTTGTCTGGTCGTCAGTCCCTAGTGTTCAGTGTATCAAATCTATTCTTGAGATGGTTTCTAAATTCAGGTGGGATATACTCAAGGTCGTACTTTGGCTCCCGTGGACTTGTTTTAATTTTCTTCAGCTTCACTTTGAACTTGTATATGAACAATTGATGGTTTACTCCCCAGTAGGCCCGTGGTCTTGTTCTGACTGATAATATTGAGCTTCTCCATTGTCTCTTTCCACAGATGCTGTCAGTTTGATTCCTGTGTACTCCATCTGGTGAGGTCCATGTGAGTAGTTGCCATTTATGTTGTTGAAAAAAGGTATTTGCAATGAAGAAGTCATTGGTCTTGCAAAATTCTATCATGTGATCTCAGGCAAAGTGTCTATCACCAAGGCTGTATTTTCCAACTGCTCCTTCTTTGTTTCCAACTTTTGCATTCCAGTCACCAGTAATTACCCATGCATCTTGATTGCATATTTAATCAATTTCAGACTACAGAAGTTGTTAAAAATCTTCAGTTTCTTCATCTTGGGCATTAGTGGTTGGTGCATAAATTTGAGTAATAGTTGTATTAACTGGGCTTCCTTGCAAGTGTATGGATATTATCCTATCGTCGACTGTTGTACTTTAGGCTAGATCTTGAAATATTCTTTTTGACAATGAATGTGACACCATTCCTCTTCATTTTGTTACTCCCGGCATACATGATTGTCTGATTCAAAATGGCCAATATCAGTCCATTTCAGCTCACTGATGCTTAGGCTATTAATCTTTATGCATTCCATTTCATTTTTGATGAGTTCCAATTTTCCTGTATTCATACTTGTACATTCCACTTTTTAATTATTAATGGAAGTTTACAGCTGTTTCTTTTCGTTATGAGTCATGCCGCATCAACAAATGAAGGTCCCCAAAAGCTTTACTCCAATCCATGTTGTTAAGGTCAATTCTACTTTGAGGACACAGCTCTTCCCCAGACTTATTTTGAGTGCTTTCCAACCTGAAGGGCTCATCTTCCAGCAATATATCAGAAATGCAATGTTTTATCCTTAAGAACAAACAGTGCACTGAAAGTCTGAGTAATGAAGCATAGTGTTAAAATGGCTTTCGATGTATAAAGTGATGGTAAAATCTGACAATTATCTGGTTAATTTCATCGGTATAGACAACTGACTTGTATAGACCTAACATGGATTCCCCCCCGCCCACCCTTTCCATTTATTTCAGTCATCTTTAATCATGTCCTATAGTTTTATGTGCGCAAGTCTTTCACCTTCCTGGTTAAATTTATTCCTAGGTAATTATTCTAACATAGATTTTTAATCTAAATAACTTAGTTTTCTACCATGTGGAATAGGAAGTAAAATAAGCTCTTCCTTAGTCTTATATTACATAAATGTAATATGAATGTACATTTTCTTTTTCCCCAAATTGTTTCTAGCTGATTGGAGGGAAAAACTTGATTTTTTCTGCACGTGTAATAGAGCAGAAAAAAAGAAACTCAAATATTTATTTTACAGTTTTGAGATTTGTTCATGGAAATATTCAACGGTGTAGAAAGAGATTCTACGTGATGTATCAAGTTACAGAAAATATCACCCAAAGATAAATATATATTCTTTAACACATAGTATTTTAGAAACATAGAAATATTTAATGGACAGAAGATGGGCTGAAGTAAACATTGAAGCAACTTTTCCATAGATGGACTTGAATTCTTTTTAAATATGTAGTCTAAAGTGTGCCATGTCTTCTTGTTAATGCAATTTGTCTTTGAAGGTGCTTTGACTCTATTAATTCCATACTGAATGAAATAAAAAGCAAACACAACGAATCAAAATATTTTTAAAAACAACTTTCAATTACTTTTTTTTTTTTTTTTTACACTTTTGGTTTTTCTAACAAACTCAAGTGTTGTCAGTCATATAACTAGAGATGATGATACGGTGGCTAAAGCATTCGACTCTGATGTGGCAGTTTGGTTAGACAAAAATCTTTCCCAAGGAAAGACTGAAGTCGTGTCTAATTAATCAAGCCAGGCGAGTGTTGAGGTCAGAGGGATGAGGAGACGTTCTGCATGGTGTGAGAGAACATCCTATAAGATCTAGTTGGATGTTGTATTAAGTTTAACATGAGGGCATAGGTATGACCTAAGACACTGAGTCCAAGTGTGTTAAGTCAATAAGGGAAGATTTCAGGGCTGCTACTTTCCTCTCCAAAGCTGCAGATAATGAACAGGTAAAGTTCATAAAGGGATACTGGGATGTTAGTTACAGGATGGTGATGCAATGATAGTAAGCCACCAATTAAATACATACTCTATGCTAAGCATTATGTTGGAGGCTTAAAATATGTTATCACTAAATTTCAGGAATAACCTGCGAGGAAGGTTTTATTATCCCCATTTTGCAGATGTGGACCCTGAAGTTCGAGGATGTTGAGTGATTTGCTCAAGGCCACATAATTATTTGCAGATGAAGCAGGATTCAACCCACCTTAGTTTGGCCCCAAAGCCCTTGCCCCTTTCACTAGGCTAATCCTCCTCTCTCAGTAACGTATCCACAAAAAACTTTTTGGATCCTGAGACAAGTTTATCATCACACTTTTGCAGACTTTGGTCCTCCCCTTGTTCTGACATTAGTGACTGCCCCAGGCACTAGCATTTCACTGCACACCACAGCAATTATTTATGACTTGGAGATTTGCAGCCTGGGGCTGATTTACCAGGGCTGTTTTGAAGAAAAACAAAAGGAACTCTTTTCTCAGTCGCTCCAGGATTCTTTGATTCTTTGAGCCAAAGGAACTCCGTCTTCTGTAGAAGACATGGAGGAGTACACGCAGAGGAAAGGCCTTTTCCAAGCCAGTGGCCTTGCTTGTTTTGTATGAGTCTAACTTTCATACTAAATCTTATCAACTTCAACAATTTCTTTATGGCTACTTAAAACTCCCTGTGAGTATTGTAGGGGGGTGAGGTGGGGATACCTGATGGGTGAATGGGATGGATGGTCTCCAGGTGTTGGTAGGTAAAATGTATAGCAGCTTCCAAATGAATTCGTATTAAATCTTAATCCATGGTATGTGGGGGGAAGTGAATACTGGTCATGCCCCCTCCCCCCTCACAGTGCTGCCCCCAGTTGCTTACTGCTTTTCTAACTCTGACTCTTCCTTTAAGACTCAGCTAAGGCTTCCATTCCTCCAGGGACATTTTTCTGACGTTTTCATGCCCAGGGCTTGCTGGCCATACACTATGCTCCCATAGCACCCTGTTACTACACTTACCCTGTTAGTTTATAAAATATTTGTGTCTGATAATAATTTTAACATAGTTCCTACTATGTGTTATTCATCTTTGTACCGCCAGTGCCTAGTACATTTCTTAAAAAAAAAAAAAATTACATTGAGTCAATTCTGACTCATGGAGATACAATGTAGTGCAAAGTAGAAATGTGCTCCATAAGAAGGGAAGAAGCCCCGGATCAGTAAAGCACTAGTGAAGAAGAATAAAGTAGGAGGACTCACGCTACCTTACCTCAGAACCTACTATACAGCTACAGTAGTCAGAACAGCCTGGTACTGGTTCAATGACAGATACATTGACCAATGGAACAGAATTGAGAACCCAGATGTAAATCTATACACCTACGGTCACCAGATCTTCGACAAGGGACCAAAGCCCATCAAATGGGGGAAAACACAGTCTTTTTAACAAATGGTACTAGCAAAACTGGATGTCTTTGCAAAAAAAAAGAAACAGGACCCATACCTCACACCATACACAGAAACTAATTCAAAATGAGTCAAAAACCTAAATATAAAGCCAAAACCTGTAAAGATCATAGAAGAAAAAATAGGCCCTAACAGCATTAATAGGATACAAACCATAACTAACAACACACAAACTCCACAAGATAAGCTAGATAACTGGGATCTTCTAAAAATTAAACACTTAAAAAACGCTCATCAAAAGACTTCACCAAGAGAGTAAAAACAGAACATAAAGACTGGGAAAAAAATTTTGGCTATAACAAATCCGACAAAGTTCTAATCTCTAAAATCTACAGGAAAATCCAACACCTCTACAATAAAAAGACAAATATCCATTTAAAAAATGGGCAAAGGAAATAAACAGACACTTCACTAAAGAAGACATTCAAGTGACTAACAGACACATGAGGAAGTGCTTGCAATCACTAGCCGTTAGAGAAATGCAAATCAAAACCACAATGGGATACCATCTCACACCCAGCATTACTGGCACAAAAAAAAAAAAAACTGAAAATAACAAATGTTTGCGAGGCTTCGGGGAGACTGGAACTCTTATGCACTGCTGTTGAGAATACAAAATGATACGACTATTTTGGAAAATGATATGGCGCTTCCTTAGAAAGCTAGAAATAGAAATACCATATGATCCAGCAATCCCA